TGGAATCAACTCAACGGCAGTGGTGTATATGTAAGAGAGTTAAAAACAACAATGAATTTAAGACATGGAGACCTTGTCTTGTCACATCATTGCTTAACCATCTCTAGAGACCTAATTTCTTCCAACAAACAGATATTTTGGGAACTTCATGAGAGCTTTTGCAACAATTCCAAGATAACAAAGCAGAGTACCATATATACTCGTGTATAAGCCGAGTTTTTCAGCACATTTTTAATGCAGTTCTTGTGGTAAAATTAGGTGTCTCAGCTGATATTTGGGTCAGCTTATACTCAAGTATACATAGTATATAAGCAAAAAGTAACTGGTATATACTAGGAGCCATACAAATGCATGTTCCCTATTCTTAATAAAATATTGTAACCTAATGAAGTTCTTTGTAATGAAAATATAGTTGGCTCTAGTAATGACTGTATTATTGCATAATTTTAGTCAGTATATTTATGATTCTATAAAATTTATTAAAGCATATTCCCCAGACTAAGTAGATTTTATCAGAACTAAACTCTTTCCAGAAACCTATATAGTTCTTACCAATGGTGTTTTTTTGTTTTTGTTTTTAAATTCAAAGTAGAATTTAAAAGTATAACTGGGTAAAACTCATCTTGGTAAAGAAAAAATTACATTAAAATAATAATGGCAGAAGGTAGAGTGTATGCTGTAGAAGAATAGTAGTTGGGAGTAACTAACAACCAATGGGATATAAGGTGGCCAAGTGAGAAACAGAAAATTACAGGCTGTGTTGGAAAGGCTAAGAGATCTAGATAATCAGAAGAGAGTGAACAGGGCAACCCAGATACATGAGCAACATGAGTACTTGTTCAAAATAGGAATGAGAACAGATGGTGCAAATAAGAATCTTTCTTAATGTACTAGGTCATTTGTGCTAGTAAACAAAAATAAGATTGTGAAAAATCACTATGCCAGATTCTGGATGAAGGGGAAAACAGCCTTTCAGTGTAGGGATAGTTTAGACATGATACCTTAAAACCAAATACAGGAATAAAAAGCAATCATGAAAGACATGGAGAAAGGAATGACTCCTAAAATCGTGTCTGTTATTATACTATACTTATTATACATGGAGTACAGAGTCATATATAATAATTAATAAGCTAATTAATTACTACTAGATTGGAAAGCTGAGTTACTGTTCTATCAATTTTTCTATTGTATTTTTACTTAGAAGATAGTATTGATTTTTCTTTTTTTTTTCAAAAACATTTTATTGGGGGCTCATACAATTCTTATCACAATCCATACATCCGCCCATTGTGTCAAGCACATTTGCTGCCATCAAGTATTGATTTTTCTTAAAGATCCTTTTTGACAGTTGAGATAGAATGTAATGTTCAAATGAGGTAATTCAAATTTCATTCTTCGATGAAATAGATTAAACAATTAACAAATTCAGATATTATACTTGTCAAAGTTTCCCCTAATCTCTAGTCAAAACCAAGACATACAAGTTGGAATTACATGGACATTTTAAATTTGACATAAACTTTCTGAAGGACAGGGTCACACAAGAAGTAGAAGCCACCTTTGTCTCTTTTCCACATTCCGGATGTGTAAAGATTAAGGACATCTGGTAACAGGTTACAGAGCTAAATACAAGAGGATAAGAGGGACTGGACGTAATCCATAAAGGGGCACAAAGCATGAATATGAAGATGAAAAGAAGGAACGAAAGGGAAGAGGCAAACAACAGAGAGATCTCATAAAAAGCATTATTGTTATTTGATGAATAAATAGGAGTGAAATGCAAAGCAACAATAATGATTAAGGAATTCCAGGTGAAAGAAAATGGCAAAACGCTGTACTTAGTAAATTTGATTTTGAATTCATGGAATGGTATAGGGTGAGGCTGTAGTTAATAAAATAAAATAAATTAACCCATTAATCATTGTAATAGTTTATATGGTTTGCATTTCCAAAGCTATTACCCTGGTTTACAAATAGAAAGCCAAATTGGCATAAACATGCCTTCACATGTGTTTGCTGAATATAAAAACAGCCAAACAAATTATTAAGGAAATGCTCATTATTTGAGACTAAATAATTAAAAAGTCCATAATGGTGAAGACTGCATCACATCATGACTCCTAGATAGCCTGAATATTTCCCACACTTGTAAAATCTGCCGCTGGCTAAATTTGTATTGAAACCTTCATTAGAAACTACATTTCAAATAGATAATTTTATTGTTACCAGCAACTCGGAAACTAAATCGCCTTTTATAATCAATTACTTTTGTCACAAGATTGAACAATTACATGTGGGATAAGAGGCAGCAGTGGCACAGACAGTGATGTGGAAGTGGCAGTGTGACGGAGGGCTGGGGTACTAGCAGTTTAATTAACTGGAAGGAAACTAAGTGAGGTTTGTCATTTTTCTGGTATATGTTATACCAGATATTCAAGACAGTAATTGCCTCTAAATATTTTAAGAAAAAAAGTGTATATTTACTCTTAATGCAGGTTGAAAATGCAGCTTGGCAATATACCATTTAAAATAGCAAGAGGTAAGTCTAAGATCATTTAATGGGATTCTTAAAAACACACACAATTTTAAAAAATTCTACTTGTATTTATAGAAGTGCTTCACTGTTAAAAACTGGAGGGCCACGCTCCAAGATGGAGCTCCCTCCCTAACAACAATATAGCTCGACAACTACAAATTAATCACATTTCTTGAACCTTGTAGAGAACTAAGGTCCCTGACAAAACAATACTATGGGGAAAGTAAAATGAGAAGATATGAAGAGTTAAAACTAAGCGTGGTCTATCTTGAACGTATGAATCTATACTTGTTTCACGGGTTTATCGACCTGTAGAGTCGGGGTGGGGGGGTGGGGGTCTGACGGTCTAGAAGGCAATAAGCATAGGGAGCTGGGGTGGGGGTGTCACAGCCTCTCAGAGCTTGCGCTCCGTGACCACCTCCAGGGACGATCAGGAAGAACTTCAAGAAAGCTTACGGTAGTGGCTGGAGAAGGGGAACGGCAACCACTGTCAAAACTACTGCATCTTTCTTGTGTCACCCAAGGAATACAAGGATTACTCTACAAAGGAAAGGACAATGAAAAATGTAGTCTGAGGGTAAAAACCCACTAAGGTCAGAGAGGAGAACCAGAAATGAAAAAAAACGATATCCTCAGTGAAAGGCAGAAACAACTGAAGTTCATACTGCCAAGACCCAGGTTCACAGGCACCGACCTTAGACTGAGCATTAATCAAAACAGAGACTATCTGTACTTTCCAAACCTCTCCAGCAAATGAGTCAGAACTGACTCAATGGCAGTGAGTTTGGTTTGCTTTGCTACAAGAGACAAATTCTTTCTGGGAAACAGTGCAAAAAAGACCCAAAGCCACACTATGCAAACACATTGAGAAAAACAATTCAGATAGAAATTATCCTAGAAAACTTCATAATGTTTCACACTGAAGGTGACCATCTTAACAACACAAAATAAAAATAACCCAAATCACGGCTAGATTAACACAGTTCCCACACGAAAGGCCCAACAGAAAGAAGGATATACTCATCTTCAAGCATATATTTTAGTATCTATTGTCCAAATATAGCAAGTCCATCTTTAAAACAAAGCAAATCGGAACAATCAAGAGCTATGGGGCAGTATCAGACAAGCTAACATACACATGCTTAGAATCCCAGGAGAGAAAATAGGCAGGAGAAATACTTGAAAATGCAAAGGCCAAGAATACTCCAAACATAGTAACAAACATCAAATAATAGATGCAGTAAGTTCAGAGAACTCTAATTAGGCCAATTACCCGAGAAGCCCACACGTGAAACTGCTGAGAATTACAGACAGAAAATCTTGATGGCGGTCAGAGCAGAGAAGACACTTTACCTAGAGAGGAACTAGGACTAAAGGACTAGGGAATGCAGCCGACCTGCTCTGAGAAATCATGTATAAGAAACAACATAATACGTAACATCTTCAAAGTGCTTTGGCAGAGGAGCAGGTATCAAATCAGAATTCTCTGAGCAGCAAAAATATCCTTTAAACCAAGTAGAGAGACTCTATAGAAAATGTTAAAGGAAGTTCTCCATGTAGAA